ATATATCTATATATAGAGATGATATATAGTTACAGATATGATATAGATATATACACACACACTTCTTGAAGTTGGTGGACATATCTCCATGTTATTCCCTGATGTTGATATTCAATGAAACATTGAATAAATGTACATTGCCCAGATGATGACTTGCAGGTGGCTGGGCAAACCTTCAGGCCAAGGCCTTTACAGATCGATACTGTGGTGGGCTCAGAATTGAATAGGAATAAGTTGGACTGGATCCTATTTAAAATGTTGCAACACATTGAATGTGGTATGGAGAAGGAAGAAAAGGCACCTCATGGTTTCTGTTTGCTCAGTAAACAAGGAGGCATGGCTATCTGCTGAAAGAAATGGAAATGGAGGAAAAACTGGAGATTTGAGGAAAGAAGAGAAGGTTTGGAACAGCCACTAAGGATAGAGGCAATCAACGATGAATATGCTTTGCAGTCCAGCAATGAGGATCCAGTTGACATAAAATAATATGAGTTTATGAATATGAATATATGAATAGTGGACCAAGTTAGTGTATTGGGTGAATTCTTCTAGAGGTGTCAAGCAGTTTGGAAGTATGAATGGAGAAAGGCAGATAGTGGAGATATCTGATCCAGGGTGGAGAATTGGAGGGTGGGAATAGTGATGAGATGGGTAAGTGAGTCAAGGGCAGAGGATAGTATGTATTTAAACTGGTCATCTGTAGAGTCAAGATGGAAGAGAGTAAAATGAGTTCAGGGGTGATGAACTTGGAGAATAGGAGGAGATTGGAGGTCACAGGGAGAAGAATAGGTATAGCAAAAAGTGAAGCAGAGAGGTGGAAGGACAGGAGATTGTGACAAGGGGAATTTCTGAGTTTAAAATGTGGAAAGACCATACTTGTGGGTGGCACTGAGTTCTAAGATACGCTCATTCTTGTTGGTGGCTGAGGTAGAGTGAATCTGCAGGTCATTGGAGCTTAGATCAAGGTGGGTGGGACTCCAGCTATATGTCAAAGTCCCCAGGTATGAGGGCAAAGGTTGAGCTAGATACTGAAAATTGGGTAGAATCCTTGAGAAAGGAGAGAGAACAATGTGGAAAACAGTAGATTGCTAAAAATATCTTGACTGTGTGATAGAGAGAGAGCTCCTGAACATCAGAAGAGAAGAGGTTGTTGGAGTTGTGGTAGCAGAGGCATAATCTGGAAGGGTCATTGGGGACCATACAGTAAACCAGCTCCTTTTCTAGACCCCAGTGTATGTGAGAGGAAGCAGTCAGCACCAAGAGTGCTGCAATGGCCTCAATAGAGAGCTAGGTTTCCATGAACACAAAATGATAGAAAAGAAGAGAAAAGAAGAAATAGAGGATGAAGGGAAATTAATGATCAGCAGGGTTTCTAGGCAGCACAGTAGAAAAGGAGGAGAGAAGTGGCAGGGGAAGGAGACTTTCAAAAGCCAACTGAACCACTAGGATTAGAGGAGCAGGAGATTACTTGCTATGGGTGCTGGTTTTTTGGAGCTTACCTTTCAGGGTCCTGTGATAGGGCAGTATTGGTGCAATGTTCCTTCTAACATGGGGGTAGATGGGAGTTAAAGCCAAGTGCTGGTCCTTAGGGACTTGGACTGAACTCACTTTGAGCCAGCTCAGTAGTCATATCCCAAGAAGGTGGGGGAATGGGGCAGCTAGGTGGCACACTGGATAGAGCACTGGCCCTGAAGGCAGGTGGACCTGAGTTCAAATCCAGCCTCAAACACATAACACTCACTAGCTGTGTGACTCTGGGCAAGTTACTTAACCCCAACTGCCTCACCAAAAAAAAAAAAATGTGGGGGAATAAAGAATGCTCAGAAGATTCAATGAAGTAAATATAAACTAAAACGTATGTAATATATTTTTAAAAGTTTTCCATTGTCTACTAAGTTCTGTTTTGATGGCATACCATGGGTACAATCACAAAACAACCATGAAGCTCTTGGAGCTCCTAAATGGTTAGTTAACCTTCAGTTAACTGAAACTGTAACTTAGATTATTTCATTCTCTGATCATTACAGAAAACAAGAGGAAGAAACTCGTCAGAAGAGGAAGCGTAATACTCTCCATTTTAGCACTCACTGATTTCTTGAGAGCTCATGAGCAAAGTCAATTAACCTTCCTAAAGTTCAGTTTTCTCACTAGATAAAAAATGGTATACAATATCACTTCTGTATCATATAGGAATGTACTGAAAGTGAGTAAACTTTTACTACTCTCTTCAGCACCAGGAAGAAAGGTGGTGTCTCAATAATAAAACTGAGGATTTGTTTTTATAAGAAGTATTATTATTTTTTTGAGAGAGAGAGTAATTAGTGAAAAAATTACGCACATCATATAAAGGGAGGGAAAATTAATTAACCAACAGCTTATTTGCTGAATTTATAGAACTAATGCTTGCATAATATTTAACTTGAAGGGTGTTTTACAGTTTCCTTTTCTGTAAAATGAAGGTAATATTTTCATGGCCAAAAGGTTATTGTGAAGAAAGCTCTTTTGTAAGCCATAAGATACTCTAGTAATACAAGTTAATAACAGTAAGGATAAGAACAACAATGACAACATAATTGTTATCTTATTAGCAGTGCATGGAGAAAAAAAATCTGTAGCCTCGTCAAAGAATTCTATGCCAAAGATGAATGTTTCAATCTCCTGACGGTAAAGAAAGGGACTAGAATTCTAATGGCAGCAGTCATCAGTTAGCTGTGATAGCAGCCATGCTGTGAGGCTGGAAGAGTGTGATGAGAGAATAATCATCAAAATTTCATTAAAGACAAGACAGACTTCTCAGATATACTATTCTGATAGTATTCCCCAACCCCCTCCAATTTAAAAACCCTAACAAGTCATTTTAGTATTAATGCGTGGTTTGGTGGCCTTTTAAACATTATATTAGTTTCTTTTAGAAGGCTTTGTAATTCTCCTCAAGACCTATGTTCTTGCACGAACTTTGTTCGAGCAAAGTGTCTGAGAATCAGAATTGAACATTGTTTGCCTTGGATGCAGAGTCAGTCCAGCTCCTTGTTTTCTGAACGGCTGTAAAATGAGAAGATGCCATAGGTGTCTCCTTTCCACCATTATTAGCCTGAGGAAACAGGGAACCCTGGAACTTTGCCTGTGTCAGTCTTCAAGGTTTCCTATTTACATTTTCTTTAACCCCCCCTCTACTTTTCCATACCATACACATATGTGTGTGTTTATGTGTTATGATAGAAGCTTTTCAGGTTTTGATGACAGGAAGGGGCACAAGTAGAGCCAAAGGGCCACAGTGAATTTGTCCTGAAAACCAAAGCATCTTCAGTTCCTTGTATTTGTAGATTTGGGCTTTAATAGAGAGGAAGCAGTTTCCTAGGCTTAGAGATTTAAGAGACAGTTCCCTGGGCCACTGCCAAATCTGTAAAGCCAATGGAAGGAAAGTGGTTAAGTTAGAGACAACCAAAAATAGTTGAGAAATAGTCACCAGATTCTGGGTCTTACTGAGATCTCCCTTTTTCTTCCCCTCAGTAAATGAGGAAAATAAGGCTAGTTGTGCTGTAATTTTTCAAGGCAAAACATGAATCTTCTTGAATTTCCTTATATTTTTTAATACATTTGAACTTTTAATACCTACTCTGTATTGGTTCTGTTGTTTTAGTAATACTGTCAAGATAAATATTCAGGATTTAGAAATCTTGGTAAGGAAGGGATGATACTATATTTGTCCAAGAGATGATTAAATTACATTTTTCTAGCAGTGTGCTGTTATTCTACTTAGTTACAGTTGGCATATCATGTTAACAAAGCTCATTTTATGAAAAGGATAACTGTTACCAACATCTGTTGTTTAAATAATTTAATTTAGTTAATTGTATTTGATATTTTGGTCGTCATAATTGAATCATCCAAAATTGCAGGCCACAGTGCAAATTCATGCTTTGCAAAAGTAGAAATTCCTTAGCAAACCGCACACCCATAATGCATTGCAGAAGGGGATTATTTTGTGCAGTTATGGGGACATATCAACATGTAGTATTTTGGTAACCCCAGAAATGATGAGACGTCTTTAACTGTTTGGATAAAAAAGTATTTCTTAAGCTATCCTAAATTGTTATGAGGAATTCTAATACCATATCTTATGCCCGAGACACTAGAAGCAGCTGGTGTGCTAAGTAACACATATTTTAAAAACGGAGAAAAGTGTAAATCCTAGTTGTTCCAGTTCTTCAGACCATACAAATTTCATTTGTACATAAACACAGCTGAATACACCATTTCATAAGTCCTTAGCTATCTCTAGCATTGCCCTACAATCCTAAAATTTATGGCTAACTTTCTGAAATCGTTATGAAAGCTATTATTTACATACTGCTTTAAGTTTTGCATAAGCTTTGCATATATTATCTTATTTGAAAAGTATAATAAAGTAAGGACACAAAGAACTGGGGCAGAATACCTGAGGACTGTACTGCATTTTGCCTGGAACTTGGAAAGAAAATGCCTGGGAGGCAGTCCCTGTTAGACAAAACACTATGTCAAAAACATGTTTTATTACTAAGGCTCATAGTATTTTTCTTATTGTATGCTTTAATAGGAGCCATCATAAAATAGCAGATTAAAAGTGGCTCTACTTTCAAGCTTAGTTTTAGCCACTTCTTTGTCTCTAGAGGGTCTGGTCTTTCTTTTTTACTTCCTGACTCTAAAGGGTTACACTGGGCTCTGAGATGGTGATTCAGGTTGCTTTACTCTGTTCCAGAGATAGGGAGTTTTTGGGTAATGAGGAATAAGTTCATTTTCTAAAATTAACTGAATTCTGGAAATTACCTTGAAGCTTGTGAGAGTTACTAAAGTAACTGATAATTATAATTATTTACAAAAGTGTAAATTATAGAAGGTGGTGTACATTTCTTGGAAATTTTATTTCATTAGAACATTGAGAATATAGAGAATAACCTAACGTTTGAGTAATGCTTCACACAATGATAATATACTCCAGAGCCCTTTACAATGTAGCAACTGGCCTAGTGTTTCTTCAAAAGAACTTAAAGTGTCTTCGGCCATCGGTTCTTCCAGGGACTTTTTCATACACTAGACGCCTTTTTTTGCGTTGGGGTTGCTGTGAATATATTAAATCTATGGAGAAAAGAAAAGGAAAACTATTATGTTGCTGATCATAACAGATAGTGGCTATGAAAGTAGTTTGTTTTAGCTTTATAAATGGCTTTTGGGGATAAAGAATCTGTCCACCACATGTATTACCTATTGCTAAATTACTAAATTATAACTATGCTAAAAAGATGACTATTTAGATTATTTTATTTTTTAAAACATAAAACAGAACTTTTTCTAACATAGTATAATATATATTCATTGTTACAAAATTTTTATGTTAATAAAATGCTCCAACCCAAATATAACCGTATATGCTTTCACCTGGAGTGAAAAGCAGGGAGAAATTGCTAAGATGCCACTAAGGCATGGCCCCCTGACTGCTGGAATGAGTCAGTAAACCTTCACAAATTAGGGCATAAGAAAGAACCAACTGTAGTTTGTACCATCCTTAAAATAATTAGGAAATATGACCTATGGTTCATATAGGTTATGAACATGTATGTGTATGTCTATACATATATATTACATGGAGAAAGAGAGAGAGAGAGGCAGACATTTATATATTAGTATGATGGAGTACTAAATCCTAAAATATTATTAGTGGCATATAAGGAGTCTTGGCCTGCCACTGAAGACCCTCAAAGGAATGGCAAAATAGTTCTGGGCATCAGCACTAGTACCTAAGGGAAGCTAGCTGCAGCACCTATTTTCTTTATATAGTTCAAAGAGCTCAACCAACAGCATGTAGTACTTCCACAGGCTCTTGAACTGACTGTTGTTTTTCTAAGGTTTATATTTATTGTTACTTCTTGCCCCATTCAAATTCAGAATTCTTTGCAAATTAAAAAAAAGGAAGAAAAGGTATTTTTTCAATCTAACAAATAAAAAATTCATATTTATTTATCTGTCTGACTACTCAAATCTTTTTTTTTTTTAATCGTATACAGCCAATTCAGGGAATTTTCTCATGTATACCTGATAAAATGCTCTTCCTATAGCTATTCAATGAAGCTCTTTTACATCCTGCAAAATCCACTTGGAAATCTTTTCTAGTGTCATCTACAACTCCCAGTTATCTATAATATCCAAACTAAGCAAATATTAAACTGGGAAAATCACTATAAAATATAAATTTTTATATATTGACTGTTTTTGTTATTATTTTTAATACCATAACATTTATGTTCTTGGAAGTCTGGGACTAGATCTTTTGTGGAACTCTCTATATAGTACTTGGCCCTGTGCTATTCAGTAGAAAGTATGCTCAGTGAAAACACAGATAACATTTTCCTGGAAAAGATTTAACTAGCATCTTGGGAGAGTGAGATAAAAATTCAATATAGTTATGAAAAGGTAGATATATAAGTGCTAATTAACAATTAATAGAAGGATTTTTAAAAATGAACTATGGATATTAGGTAGAAAGTAACTGGTCACAAGAGAAAAAAAATTGAAGTTTTGTAGAGATATTAAAATTTCTAAAGGAAAGCCTTTAGTCACAGATTCATAGGATTTAGGCTTCTCTTATAGGATCAACTCCCATGACCCACAGCTTCACCCTTTTTTTATTCTTTTTTTGGCTAGGCAATGAGGTTAAGTGACCTGCCCAGGTCACACACTTAGTAAGTGTTATGTGTCTGAGGCCACATTTGAACTCAGGTCCTCTTGAAACCAAAGCAGCTACTCTATCCATTGCGCCACCTAGCCGACCTCCTTCTTTATTCTTAAAACCTATTCCAGCCCCTCCATCCCATTCTGTTTTCCTGTTCTCACCCCTTATTTGTCTTCATTTCTCCTACTTTATAGTCTTGCCCCTGTTTTTAAGTAGTATAACTATACAATATCTTGCATACTTACATTCTTCAAACCCTTGTTCTGTGGTCACTGTCAGACCTTCCATGCACCTACTCTCCTGTTACTGAAATGCCACTGCATGAAGTCCTGCAGTTGTGCCCACTACTAATCTAATCGCAACTGGACCCTCACTGTTGCATGACAAACTTTTTAGTCTTCTTCTGTTCTCTAATTTCACATTCACTGCATAGCATCTGTTCTAAACTCTTATCTCCTCAAACCCCCAGTGCAATTCCTATTCTACTCTCCCCCATGCACCCGCTTTTTAGTAGATGATCTCACTTCTTCCTTTACTAAGACTTCACTGCAAACTTCCACATTTCCTCTATGCCAAACATAAACTCATCTACATCTTCACCCAACCTTTCTTCCTTTGCTTCATTCTTCAAGGTGGCCCTTTTTCTTGTCAGGGCTAATCCAATTCAATTTGCCTAGCTAAGCCTCACCTTTTTGTAGTTGTAAAATTGCTTTCTGAATGCAAATTTAGCCACCTATGTTCATTTGATCTTCCTGCAGAGTTTTGGTTTCCCTTTTTTTTTTCTTTTCCTTTTTAGGCTGGACCTGTGATTTCATTGGTATGGAAACTCCCTCCACCAGTAACTCAGCTGTAATTTAGAGAATTCACTGGGAACACTAAGAGGTTAATGAATTTGCCCATGGTTATATAGCTAGTATGTGTCAGAGACAGGATTTTAACTGAGGTCTTCCTGAATTCGGACTGCCCTTTTAGCCCCTACATTATTCTACCAATCAAGTTATCCTGTTCAAAAAAAGGAAACCTTTTTTTTTTTTTTTTTTAGTGAGGCAATTGGGGTTAAGTGACTTGTCCAAAGTCACACAGCTAGGAAGTATTAGTGTCTGAGACCAGACTTGAACTCAGGTCCTCCTGACTCCAGGATCAGTGCTCTATACATTGCACCGCCTAGATGCCCCTAAACTTTTGTACTTTTAAACTTGTATGCTATCAAGTATTTTTCATTTTATTCTTACAGTATCTCTGTTTGCACAACATATGTTAATAAACAAGCCCAAACAAATGTATTGACTTTTAAAACAAAATGAAAAAAATTCATAAGAAAACCTAGTTGTCTTTTTTAACTCATAAAATCAATGATAATTAAATTTAGTTTGAAATTATTCTCAACAAATAATAATAGTTGTTACCTGTTAATGATTCATTCCCTGCTAAATCTGATGAAGTTGCAATGTGTCTTTTCTGTCCTGAATATCTTCCAGATTTTTGCTGGACATACAGATTGTTGAATTTTTCTGAAGTTGCATTTAAATTATAGGCACAGGATTTATGTGCAAATGAATTCACATTGGAGAAACCTAGTAATCCTTTCAAGGAAGTCTTATCTGTCTGAGCATCTAGCCTATCACACATGAAGTCTTTTAATTCATCAGACAGACAATTTTGTTGAAACACAAAGGGGTCAGAGGCTGTATTTAAATTGTCTTTTTTAGGGAGCCATGTATCATATGAGCTCTGTTCTCTATCATATTGCAACTTGAGAGGATGGATTTGTGATTCTGGTATATTATTGTTAAAATTCCAGGTAACAGGATACCCAGACTTCTCTAGTAAAAAGATGGGGGAATCTAATTCTTTTCTTATTTCTCCTTTTGTTGTGTGTATGTCTTGTCCCTTACAGTTTATACAATCAGAGTTAGCAAGACTCTCAGTCATTCTTGCTTCATAACTCATTTCAGCTAGTCTCAAAGAAAAGACATCTGACTCTGAATCATTCTGCCTTAGGAAGGAAGTGCCAGCTGTTCTTCTGGATCCTTTGTTATTTAGAAAAGCAGTATCCTGTGGTTGGTATGGGTTCAAATTGGAATCTTCCCAGCAGTTCATTTGTTCATAAGATTTTGAAGATGGTAAAATACATTGTATTTCATTTGGTCCTGTAAGGGAAGTGGTATAATTTGAAGACAGACTTGCATCTTCAGGCACTTTTTCATATAATTTTGGATAACAATAATATTTATCCTGTCCTCGAATGATTAATGCTGAAGAACTTGAGATTGAACTCTGAGAAGAGATGGTACCAGGTTGGTATTCATTTTCTTGATATGATGAAATTAAAGGTGACTTTGTCAGGGAAGAACCAATCTTGAACAAAGAAGTAATCTCAGAAAAGTGCTAAAAAAAATTCAGAGAATTTAATACAGCAAAATACAGTCAATAATTAGTTCAACTTACCATTTATTAAGTTTCTACTTACTATGTTTGAGGCACTTTGCTAGCCACTGGCCAGTAAGAACACTGAGACATGTACACTCATAAATATACAAGTTTTTATTTGATTAGGGCCTAAGAATGGTCAAACACGGTAGCATGAGAGATGTGAGGAAGGATCACTTATAGCTGAGGATCAGGGAAGGCTTTTTGGAGGAGTTGGCCCCTGAGTTAGGCCATGAAGAAAAAGAATGATTTCAACAGTACATGTGTGCAAATTTGTAGCATGATTTCAAGGATATACCTTGTGTAAATTCATGAAGGTGGGTAAGGGAGGACATCTCAGAAAAGCAAGTAGTTCAGTGTGGCTAGAGCATAGTGTGAGAAGAGGAATTGTGTGAAATAATGTTAGAGAGGTAGTTTGGAGACAGATTATGAATAATCTTAAATTAGCCAGGATTAAGAATTTGCATATTATTTTGTAGGTAATGGGAGATTGAAGATTTTTGTGCAGGGGAGAATTGTGATTACACTTATGCATTAGGAAAATTATATATATTAAAGAGAGAAGGGGCCAGAAGACAGAAACACCATTTAGGAAGTTATTACAATATAGCTAGATATGTGTTTTAGGAATATTACTTTGAAACTCTGTGGAGGATAGATTAGAGGACAGAGATTTAAGCCTGGGAGACCGATTAGGTGGCTTTTCTATTGGTCCATTTGGAAAGTGATGATGATGATAACAATGGTTTTATTGACAAACACAAGAAAAAAAAAAGCATGACGCTTACCGTACAAGGACCACAATTTTAGGGAAAGAATCTAGATAGATAGTCAAGATTGTGTTTATTTTAACTGTGAGCTACCCCAAGTCATATAACACATCTCAAAGCAAAGTTTTATTTGAAATGAGTTCAACAAATGCAAAACTGATTTGAGTTTATAACTTCTAATATCTGTTCAAAAAGCCTAATTCTTGCATTTGTGTTTATAAACCATAATAAAGCTAAAAAGTAAAAAAAAAGAAGTTATAACAATAGTATAAGTAGGAGGAATTAACTGTTGAAATAAGGTTGTGGCAGTATGAGTTGAAAGGAGAAGTGAGGGATTTGAAAGCTATCCATCCATCCATCCATATTTGGCATATGAAGGAGAAAGAAGGGCCAAAGATAAGTCTTAATTTTCAAGCCTGGGTGATTGGGCATATAGTCAGGACTTCAACATAAAGGAGATGATAGCATATGCAATGGAAAGAGCACTAGATTTAGAGTAAGGGAGCCTGAGTTAAAATACTGACTCTACCACTTAATAACTTCTCTGGGTCTCAGTTTCTTCATTCATAAAATAAAGGGATTGTATTAGATGATTCCAAGGCTCTCTGATCTTATGAAATAGAAAGGTTTTTTTTTATGGGAGCAAACATTAAGAGGAATGATAATGATTTATTTTGGGGGGGAGAAATACTGAGTTTGAATTACTGAACAGTCTAGTAGGCAATTAGAAATGGAGAATTGGAGCTGATGAGGGAATTTGGGGCTGCTTATACAGATCTAGGAGTCACCAATGAAGAGTTCATAATTTAGCTAATGGGAGTTTGATATGGTAACCAAGAAAGCTGATGTTTTATCTGGATTAAGAGACACAGCACCATTGCTAAACAAATTGTGGTACATGGATGTGGAATATTACTGTGCTGTTTAGAAATGATAAATGTGATGAATTCAGAGAAGCATGGAAAGATTTAAATTAATTAACTACAAAGTGAAGTAAAGCATACCCAGGAAAACAAAATAAGTAATGATTACAATAACATAAATGGAAAAAACAAAAAAATCTAAAGTGAATGCCACAAAATTATGAAGTACAAGCATGGCTCAAAACAAGATATATGAGATGATACCCTTACTTCTCTACAAAGATGGGAGGTCCACGTGTATTTTACATTGCATATATTTTCAGACTTTTTCGATGTATTGATTAGTTATGCTATTTTTTCTTTCTTTTTTGATTTTGAATTATATTTATATTATTATAATTTGAATTATATGAGATGCCTGGGAGGGAAGGGAGAGTGGAATGGGGGAAAGTATGGTGATGAAATAAACAAGATATCAATAAAAAAAACCTATTTAAAAATTAAAACAAAAGAAGAGAGGTATAGTATACAGGACAAAAGAGATGAGAATCCTGCTCTAGTCTGATCTGGTCAGACTACATTTGTATTATTGTGTCCGTATCTTAGTGTCATATTTTAGGGAGAAAGGACCCTTGTTCCTGTTTACTCCATGAACTTGTTTCTCTCTTTCCTTTTCAATGTCTCCTCTTCTGGCATCTTTTCTTCTCTCTACAAATATGCTCAGCTCTCTTCTAAAAAAACACCTTGCCTTGACCCTATTGTTGTTTTAAGTTACCAGGCTACTTTTTTCTCCTAATCTTTACTGTCAAATTGATGGAAAGTCTACCCTCCTCATCTTTATTTTCAGCCCCCTATAATGTGGCCTACCTCTGAATAATAAAGAGTAGTAACTGCTCTCTCAAATGTTATCAGTTACCTCCTAAGTGACTCTTCCAATTTCATCCTTATTTACATCTCTTCAACAGCTGACATTGTTGACCATCTCCTCTATCTTGATGCTTTCTCCTCCCTTGACAGAATTCATTCTGGTTCTCAACTTTTTATCCATTCCTTTCTGGTCTCTTTTGTTGGTTTCTCTTCTCTTTGCCCCCTATATCAAAGCTCTGTGTTGGGCCCTTTTCCTTTCTCTCTCTCTATTCTCTGCTATGGTAAACTTATCCACTCAGAATCATAGAACCTCAGAGTTGGAAGGAATCTTGCTTAACTCATACTTTAGCAAGAATCACATCTATGTAATATCCAACAAGTGGTCATACAACCTTTGGCTGAAGACTTCCAATGAGTAGGAGCCAACTACCTCTTGAGGTATCCAATTTCACTTTTGGATAGCTCCAATTTTTGGAAGTTTTTCCTGACATCAGGCTTAAGTTTGCCACTTTGAAACTTCTCACAGTTTCTAATTCTGCCATCTGGAGCCAAGAAGAATAAGGAGGGAAAGGGGTAGTGAATAAGCATTTATTAAGCACCTACTATGTGCCAGGAACTGTGCTAAGCACTTTACAAATATTATTTCATTTGATCCTTGCAACAACCCTGAGAGGTAGGTGCTATTATAATCTCCATTTTGTAGATAATGAATTAAGTCTAATCCCTCTTCTGTGTCCTCAGCTACTTAAGGACAGCTATCATAATCCTCCTGAATGTTCTATTCTCTAAGCTCAATGTCCCGGAACATTAGCTTGTCTGTCTATTATCACAAACTCTAGGAAGGAGCAGTCACTTCCCCTCAGGGTTTTGTCATTTCCATCTCAGCAATCAGTTCTTGCCTCTTAGGGAAACACATACAAAATAGAATTTCCCCTTGTTGTTTCCTCTATTTTTTGAAGGGTGAAATTATCATGAAGTCAAGTCAAGAAGTTATCAACTGTTCTACTTTTGGCAGAGTGAGAGCTCCAGCAGATGTGTGGATAAATGAAGTTCATCACTATTATAGCATGTCTCTGCTAAAGTTGTGATCTGTTTCTCGAACTTTGAATCTCTTTCCTCTTTCTGTCCAGTTGGTCTCCTTCCATTGATCATTACCCAAGCTTTCATGATCTACATACCATGATTCCTTCTTCAATTCCTGGTTATCCTCACATGAATATGCCTTTTTCTTATTATACAATTACCCTACTTCCCTACCTTTTACTTATCAATTTCCACTTGAACAAGGCATATCCATCCAGAACCATATTCTAGTTACAAATTTTATTCCACCAAGTGTCAAGTGATAACTATGAGGTGAATTTGCCCCCTTGTGTTAGGACCTCAAATTCATCTTGCTTATTGCTCTGAACTTCAGGCATTCGGAGATATTTGAGGCCAGGGGTTTTAGGTTTTTTACTACTAGCTCCTTTCTTGGCTTTTTATCTCCTGTGAACCTCTGGGTATTTCAACTATGATTCTTCCTGCAATACTTCTGAATTATCAAACTAAAGACAACTTCAAAGACTGTCTAATACACATTTAATTCTCCTCTTGATTCCCTATCATCTCATTTCTTACAATGGCTGTTCCAATACTTGCTTCCTCTTTAAGTTCCACACTCATAGCAGATGACTTTCTTTCCTACTTTCCCTTTCTTTGAGGTTCTTCAAGCAGAGCCTGGATGACTATGTGTCAGGTATGTGATTGTGGGGATTTGTTTCATGGATGGATTGAACTAGATGACTGCTGAGGTCCCTTCCAACTCTCCAATTCTCTGATTCTGTGAAAAAGTACTCTATAACAGATGAATTTACTTCCCAACAACCCAGTCACTCCTTAACCATTTGAAATCTGGCTCTTCTCCCTTCTAATCTATAGAAACTGTTCTCTCAAAGGTCACCAAAAAGCTCCAAAGTACCCAAATCAAAAGCTTCTTATTTGTTATTCCCTTTGATTTTTCTACATCATTTGACACTTGACTACCACCTTCCTCGGTGATAGTGTTTTGCTCACTTGGTTTCACACCTTAAACTCCTGGTTTTCTCCCTAACTTTCTGTTGTTGTTATTGCTGTTGATGTTGTTGGCTTCTTTTCCTCTTCCTACTTCATAAGCTGGGTGTACCCTAACATTCTGTCATCAGTGCAACTTCTCTTTTATTATGACCCTTTCAAGTGGCAATCTTGTCTACAGTTATGGCTTCAACTATCACTTCTATACGGATAATTTACAAATCTATGTATTTCTAACTGATGCTTCCCCTGAGCTCCAGATACACATTTTCAATTGTCTAATGAATAGCTGTACCTATATGTCCCTCAAACTCAATATTTTATGAAAAGCATCACTGTTTACCTAGTCATTCATGATTGAAACTTTGGTATCTGACTCTTCCCACTTGTTTACTTTCCCATATCTGGTCAGTCAACAACTCCTATGGAGTCTACCTCTACGATATTTCTTATATCTTTTCTATTTCCACTAACACCACTCTAATAGAGACCTTCAAAACCACCTCTTTACTGCCCACAGCTTTCTAATGGTTCTCCCTACTTCGGATCTTTATCCTTTTCTAGGGTCTGTGTGACCTTGGCCAAATCACTTAACTTCTCTGGGTTTCAGTTTCTTCATTTATAAAAAAAAAAAGGATTGGATTAGATAATCCCCAAGGCTTCTTCAAACTTCAACTCTTTGACCTTGTGAAATACCAAGTTAGGAGGTGGGGTAATTTTTTTGCGGGAATGATAATGATTATTGGGGGGAGATAGTAAGTTTAAAGGTGGGACTTTAAATGGTGGGACTCATTCAAGTACATGTGTTTAGTAGGCAGTTAAGAATACAAGATTGAATTTGATGGGAGAGTTCGGAGCTGGAGATCCAGATCTAGAAATCACCAAAGTAGTGTTTATAATTAAATTCATTGGAGCATGATGTGGTAACTAAGAAAACCAATTCAATCTCAGGTTGCATTTAAGAGATAGTTAACTGGGAGATGACTAAAGAAATTGTGGTACATGACTACAAAGGAATATTACTGTGCTGTTAAAAAATGATGAATGTGATGAATACAGAAAAACAAGAAAAGATATACATGAGCTAATGCTGAGTCAGAAGCAAGCAGAGCCAAAAAACATATACTAGAGATATCAAATAACATATACTAGAGATATCAAATGTTGCCCAAGGGCCATAAGCAGTAGGCAAAACTCTGAACCAGATTAAAATGTAACTGGGAAATATTTGACAAAATAAATAAAAATACAACACAGTGTAGACGATAGTAATTTGTGGTTCTCTAAGTCAATACGTGGCCCTCAGGTATCTATTTGTATTTGAGTTTGACACCAATAATATATACAATGACTATAACAATGTAAATAGAAAAAGTCACCATAAAAAATGTTGCAAAATTTAACCTATCCTAAAATTTAACCATCCTAAAAGGAAGAGATGATGATGGTTTCTGTTTGGAAGATGCTGAATTTCAAGTGTTGGAGGGTCACATTCAAGTGGCTATAACTAGTAAGCAGTTGGAAATACAGGGCTGGAGCTGATGGGAGAGGTTGGGGCTAGAGAGCTGGATCTGGGAGTCACTAGGGTAGGATTTAAAATTTAACTGATTGGAGTGATATAACAATGCTGCCAGTTCATCCTTTACACTGATTCTGGATTGATCACAGCACATCAGCAGCTGGTGGTGCAGTGGATAAAGGGCTGGGCCTAGAGTCAGCCAAATCCTGCCTCAGACACTTCCTACCTGTGTGACTCTGAGCAAGACATTTAACGTCTATTTGCCTGTTTCCTCAAGTGTGAAATGGGGATAATAACAGTACCTACTTTTCAGAGGATATTTGTGAGGATCAAATGAGATGATGTTTGCTGGCATAGAGTAGGCACTATATAAATGATTATACACACAAAGCACAGTACAATCAATAGTGTGATAAGATCTCATTATGATATTCCTCTGTTCATAACTCTTCATAATAGTTCTCTGTCTCTTGATGAAGAAACCCTAAACTCCTTATCCTTAATTGGAAACTCAACAAGCTGGCTTCTCCCTACCTTTTCAGTTTTATCTCGCACTATTCTCCTCCATTTGTGCAACATAATTATTGTATGTTGATTGTGCAGTATTATATATTTCTGTAGCTGTAGTATCCTCCTTACTAAACTGTTATCTTCATGAGGACAGGAATAGTATCTATCTCCCCTAGTACCTGGTGCTTTGCACACTAAGGGCACTTAATAAATTATTATTGATTTAATGAATGTCAAATGACTAATAATTAATTAAAGTTTCACAAGGTAATATGTTCAAATAAATTAGTATTTCATTAACTGTGAAACAAGAAGATAGAATTCAGTTGCTTCTATTTTGAAATATGAATTCTAGATAACTGACCTTTAACACTTTGGAGGGAACTTCAGGCAGAAGTCCTTGAAGTTGATCAAGAGTTGCAGACAGCAGCCAAGGCAGTGAAGGTCCTTTATTTAACATAAGCTGAGCCACCAAGGGATTGATACACGGAAAATCAAGTAAACACATTTCATCCTGGATAATAAGATTTAAAGAATGGTCAGGCTTTTCATAATAATTCATTTTATGTCATTTAATTTGTTTGGCAACCTGATGTTCATGAGTATTTCAGGTATTCATACCACAGAATATGGGGCTATAGGAGGTAGGACTGGAGAAAGGCAGTATAGCTTCTTGGAACAAAGAATCTAAGAGTATTTGTTCTAGTTTATCCAAAGAGTTGGTTGCAGCACAACTAAAAGGTATTTCTCTAGTTGGCTCCTTTATTTTGAAGCCTTCATAGTCTCCCTTCTAAAAAAAATTATTTGCTTGCCACATCAGTGTTCTAAATGATGAGTATATTATCATGGTTTCCAGATGTTCAATTTCATGAAGGCCTTATGCAGGGGTGTGCTGGTAAAAGTTTAACACCCAGCTTCCTGAAAAAAAATTTACATACAATACACTTTTAAATTTTATTTATGTATTTATTTATTATTATTATTATTATTTTGCTAGGCAATGGGGTTAAGTGACTTGCCCAGGGTCACACAGCTAGTAACACTTTAAAATTTAATCTGCATTATTAACATTTTCTCCATCACTTTCTTAAGTCTAGACAGTCAACAAAACAAAAAATCAAGCCCTGATTTGTAGCATTTGCCAACTTCTGAGATTTAAAATTGAAAATTTAACAATTGGTATTCATGAACCAGTTATAAGCTGGCTCCAGAACACCACTGGCCTTCTGTGAAGAACTTAGGAAGATCATGTATCAATCTTGACTGACTCAGACCTCTAGACATTAAGGTCATTCCCCATTGTCTAGATGGCATAGCATCCATCTTTACTACTTCCATGACACATTTCCAGATTTTCTGGGCTTTTGTGGTCAAGTGGATGGGAATAGCAAGCCCAGCAAAGCTCACATAGAGTATGCCATGATTAGAAGAGCCCCCACTCAACCTTTAATTGAGCAGACATCATTCACAGAAAGCCTTGTAATGTTTAGTGGATAAGATTTTAGTTTTGTAATAAATATAAAAGTACTAATAATATTAACTAGTTCATAAGTTTTTTTTTCCTTTTGGTAAAGCAACTGGGGTTAAGTGACTTGCCTATGGTCACACAGCTACTGTCAAGTGTCTGAGTTCAGATTTGAACTTAGGTCCTCCTGACTCCAGGGCCGGTGCCCTATCCACTGCACCACCTAGCTGCCCCTAGTTCATAAGTTTCTCGGGCAGTTTGCCCTGAGAGCAAAACAGAAAGAGGGCTATGGAATAAGGAAGAAAAGCATTATTGCTAAATAGCAATCCCTAATTTTCAGTCCCCTAGGGTCCTTTACATGCTAATTATATATTATATATAGTCAGCACCTCTTTCTCTTCCCACTTTCTTATTATAGTACACTAATCTTCATGCCCTACCCTCCTCAGGCCCTTCTCCCTAAAGTACAAATTCTGGGTCTGTGACTCTGATCTGCTGTGCTTAGGTATGGTTATACTAATCTCTATATTCAGTAAATAAGGCTGATGCTAGCTTAACTGCTAGAAAATATATGTATGTACTTTAGAAATGGCTTACAGGGCTTCTTTCATGTAAGGGAAAATGTTCCCTTTTTCTATTTCAAAATTTGATATGGCAAAAACATTAGCTGTGGCCATATATCAAAACCAAAAGCCTGTGATTTCAGCAGTGCAGGTCATCAATGCCAGAGTGGAACTCTTGTGTGAGTTAGGAGAAGGTCTTCAAGAGTTGCTATGGCCAAAAAAATTCATCACTCTGTGACTAAGCTAGTGAAAAACCCCTCTGAGCTTAGCTGGACTGGTTCTCAGACAACAGAAATACAGTACATCACTAGATGCACACCTGAAGTTTTCATAGCTTGGCAGGACCAGCCACAGCTTCACTTAGCTGACATAACTTTTGAGAACTCAAGGGAGGTTTAGTCTAATTATAATACCACTTAGCATTGCAGGCCTCAAATAGATTATGACCATAGGATAAGAAGCAAAGATGCTAAGTAAGGATCAGAACCCACAAAAATAAAAATTATTTATATAAGATTTTAAGGGTTCCAAATATATCTATATAATATAATTATAATGTGATATATAATTATATCACATTATAATTATATATCATGTGTATAATATGTATAATATAATATACATGGGTTTACAAATATATCATTTGATAAACAGTAGAGGAATCTTTAAATAATTTCTAGATTATTTTTTTTCAACATAAAAAAGTTTGTGATAATATTTATGAATTTAAAAATAAAAAATCAGGCAATTTTGGGGTTGGTATGAAAACTTGGGAAGTTTTAAGTCTATAAGTAAGCATGTGTAATGACCTAGTGTGCTTAGTAATAATTAACTGATTAAGTAAATTTATCTTACTAAAATACTCTACAACTCCACCTGTCACTTTTTCAGGGTAATTATTAAATTAAGTTATTGAATCATCTAGGTTCTATAGATTTTATTGTTTTTTCATCCAATTTAATTTTTAATATACCTTATTCCTTTTAAGTTAGGAATTTGATGAAAAGATAAGGTTTTTAAAAATACTGTGCTATGTGCAAAATTTACTGAACATTGTGCTAATTATTCATTGGCTACTAATACCAACTGATTGGCACCACTTAAATGAAACTGAAACTAATACTACAGTATCTAAATTATTTATATTCTTTGCAATCAATAAAAATAATTAACAAAGCTAAGAAATACACCTCAGATGGTGAAATTGAAAGCCAAGACCTGTCCAGCCATTCATGAGGATCTCTCTTAGAGGATATCAACTTGTGGTCAGCAATTTGACGAATTAGCTGTGCAGTTTCTTCTACTCCTGGCATAATAACAACCTAAAAGAGTTTTCCCATGTTAGACATCAGGTTATAATGAATAAAGTTTCACATATTTTATTAGTTTTTAGTTGAATAGAAAATAAGAAAACGAGGTGATTATTTAGCTTCAATTGTTTAGCTTCAATTCATTAGGATTGTGTTAGTTCCTAACACAGTGAAATGTATTCATCATAATTAATTAACATGACCCACCGGATATACAGGTCATTTCATTTCTGAGGTAAGAAGTTTTGCTTTCCCCTTTTATTTTATTGAACCTCATAACTTTCCATTTAAAATCTGTTACCTACTATTACACTCTGTAATAGGGCTATTTATTTAAATGTATATATACAGGGAGAAGTATTAATTTGAATATGATTAGTAATTGCAGGTTTTTTCTATTAATTAAGAAACAAAAATCCTTAAGAACAAATAGCAGAAAATGAATATTTATTTTACAAAGGCACATATCAAACTTTCCAAAGACAAAGTTAAATAAGAGAAAATAGACACTTTCAAACTGAATCTAATACCATGTGCTAAATAAAAAAGGATTTATTTTAAAATAATTATCATAATCATTCTGGAGTCAATAGTACACATTATCATTTGTTTTATGTCATGGCATTCTCCTCAGAAAGATGTTGCATGATAAACATATGTAGTTAAAGTAAAGTTAGCCTTATTTTTTTGGCAATTTCTAAATACTACTTAAAACAGTTGGAGATATCTAGAAGCATTATAGTAAGACTAGGAATTATTGTCTTAGGAACTTAAATAATCACTGAATTTGAGGAACTTAAATTTTCTGTAAAGGAAAAAGAAGAAACATGAAGTCTTTTTCTATGATTAATTCAATTAATATCCACACAAACATCATGTGCCTTTTATTCTTTCCATCTCTTTTCATTAGATCCTTTCAAAGTAAAACTATTCTAAAGAATGATTTCCTTAGAAAATATACTAAATGTATACAGTTGATAAAATTGTTGTATTTTCAAATTTATATTATTGAAAAATTTTAGATGACCTATGAAAAATTGACATGCCAATCTTCCATTTGCCATACTATGGCAGTCTAAAATAAAATTAAGACAATTTCGAATTTTATTTCTACTTTAGTGACAGTGAGGTACCTTTAGTCTTATATTTCTAGCCAACACATTCATGGACACAGAAAGTGGCATGGAAAAGGGCTATGGGAAGCACTGCCATGCTACAACCATCAGAGAGACAGGCTGTCATATGAATTTCCAATAAAATGCTGGCTGATTTTGATACTGATGTTCAGCCATACAGAAATCAGGGAACAGAACAAATATCGTTCCTTATTTGGAATGAGACTTTCAGTAGCTTTGCTAAAGTCAACTCCTAAATGAGAGAAGTTGGGGAGTACTATACTGGTCCAAATATAGGCTGATCTCACCTAAAATCCTAGAATGAGATTTCTTTTAAAGGAAAAAAAAGACTCTTGGCAAAGATACTGGAATATTTTACCATTTCCTTCTCCAACTCATTTGACAGATGAGGAAACCAAGGCAAACAAGGTTAAGTGATTTGCTCAGGCTCACATGGCTAGTAAGTGTCCAAGGCCAGATTTGAAATTAGAAAGAAGAGTTTTCCTGACTCCATGTTTGGCACTCTATCCACTGAGCCACCTAGCTGCCCAACACATAAGTTTATAGATATGGTTACTACACAAAATCCATGAGGGTCATATTAAAATGAAATTCAATATGTAAATTAAGAAAAACAACAGCAACTATTTACTCTTATCTTAAAATGTCCCTTCCCTCAAGGAGCTCACATTCTAACAAGGAAAATAACATAAAACCATTATGTGCATACAAGATATATACAATAGCAGTGGGAGTGGGGATCACCAGGAAAAGCCTCTTGCAGAAAGTAGGATTTGAGATGAGTCTTGAAGCAAGCCAGGGAAGCCAAGAGGAGGAAGAAGGAAGAGAAGTGGACAAACATTAAAATAACACCCACTATTAATATAGCACCCACTGTGCTTTACAAATATCTCATCTGATCCTCGCAACAACCCTGGGAAATAGGTGCTATTACTTATCCCTGTTTTGCAGTTGAGGAAACTGAGACAGAAAGAAGTTAAGTGAATTGCTCAGGGTCACATAGTTTGTAAGCATCTGAGGCTGGATTTGAACTCAGGTCTTCCTAACTCTAGACCCAGTGCTCTATCCACTAAGCCACCTGGCTCACCTCAAGAGGTGAGGAGAGAGACTCCAGCCATAGGAGACAGGTATACAAAAGCACAGAGTCTGGAAATGGACTATCATGTGTGACAAACAACAAGCAGATCAATGAGGGGAATAAAATCTAAGATTAGAAATGTAGGAAAGGACCAGCATGTGAAGGACTTTATATATGATCCTCGAGCTTGAGGAGGGGCTGAGCCAAGATGGCGGAGTGAAAGCAGTGACTTGCTTGGGTTCTCCCCCAAACCCCTTCAAATACCTCTAAAAAATGGCTCTAAACAAATTCTAAAGCAGCAGAACTTACAAAAAGACAGAGTGAAACAAATTTCCAGCCCAAGACAGCCTGAATAGTTGATTGGAATGGTATATTGCGCCGGACAGGCAGAGGAGCACAGTTCAGCATGGGCACTCAGGCAAGGCAGTCCTCAGCAAACCTGGAGCAGCCCTCAGAGGACTGAATCTCGGGCAGCTGTGGTGGTTTCCAGACTTCTCAACTCACGAACACCAAAGACAACTTAGAAGGTCAGTGGGAAAAGTCTGTGTCTGCAGTGAGAGAGAGAAGCTCAATTCTAACCCCAATCCCTGAGCTTGGCTTGGGGCTGCGACTGCTTCCAGAGTTTCTGACCTACAGACTGAGGGGAAATCGAGTGGCTGGTCACAGGGGGATTGCAAGGATCTCTCTGCTGGTGTAGGATTCTCTTGCTTTGCCCGTGCTTGGATCTGGGTCACAGTTCTGGGTGGTGGTCCTGGGGCGAGGAGGAGCGCTGGTGTGGTGGAGCTTGTAATGGGGGTGGAGAGGAAATCCTCTTCACAATTCCAAGACAGAAAATAGTTCTTGTGGTCACTCATAGACCAGAGCACAGGCCAGGAAAGGAATAAACACCTCACCCTTGATCATAGCACCTTGGAAGAACTGAAAATTTACAGGTCTCTAGAAGTATCTCTGAAAACAGCTGTGCAAAACCCCTGAAGCTTGGGACACTATGTTCTCCACACTGGAAGCAGACCCCTACCTTAACAAAGAGTTTATAACTAAAGTAATTGGCTGAGATCATGAGCAAGCAGTGCAAAAGAGTCAGACCATAGAATCTTACTTTGGTGACAAAGAAGGTCAAAACATACTACCACAAGAAGACAACAAAGTCAAAGCTCCTACATCCAAAGCCTCTAAGAAAAATATGAATTGGTCCCAGGCCATGGAAGAGCTCAAAAAAGTATTTTGAGAAGCAAGTAAGAGAAGTAGAGGAAAAGCTGAGAGTGATGCAAGAAAATCATGAAAAACAAGTCAACAGCTTGCTAAAGGAGACCCAAAAATATACTGTAGAAAATAACACCTTAAAAAATAGCCTAACCCAAATGGCAAAAGAGGTCCAAAAAGCCAATGAGGAGAAGAATGCCTTAAAAAGCAAAATTGGTCAAATGGAAAACAAAGTCCAAAAGCTTACTGGAAAAAATACTTCCTTAAAAATTAGAATGGAGCAATTGGAAGCTAGTGACTTTAAGAGAACTCAAGACACTGTAAAACAAATCCAAAAGAATGAAAAAATAGAAAACAGTGTGAAATATCTCATTGGAAAAACAACTGACCTGGAAAATAGATCCAGGAGAGATAATTTTAAAATCACTGGACTATCTGAAAGCCATGAACAAAAAAAAAGAGCCTAGACATCATCTTTCAAGAAATTATCAAGGAAAACTGCCCTGATTTTTTAGAACCAGAGGGCAAAATAGAAATGGAAAAAATCCATCGTTCACCTCCTAGAAGAGATCCCCAAAGGAAAACTCCTAGAGATATTGTAGCCAAATTCCAAGTTCCCAGGTCAAGGAGAAAATATTGCAAGCAGCCAGAAAGAAACAATTCAAGTATTGTGGAAACACAATCAAGATAACACAAGATTTAGCAGCTTCTCTAAAGGACCACAGGGCTTGGAATATAATATTCCGGAGGGCAAAGGAGATAGGATTACAACCAAGAATCACTACCCAGCAAAACTGAGTATAATCCTTCAAGGGAAAAAATGGTCATTCAGTGAAATAGGGGACTTTCAAGTATTCTTGATGAAAAGGTCAGAGCTGAATAGAAAATTTGACTTTCAAATTTGACTCAAGTGAAACATGAAGACGTGAACAGGAAAGAGAAATCATAAGAGACTTATTAAAGTTGAACTATTTCCATTCCTACATGGAAAGATGATATTTGTAACTCATGAGACCTTTGTCGGTATTAGAATAGTTGGAAGGCAAAAATTATATGTATGTATATATATATATATAGATAGATAGATAGATAGATAGATAGATAGATAGATAGATAGATAGATAGAGGGCACAGGGTGAGTTGAAGATGAAGCGGTAATATCTGGAGAATAAAATTAAGGGGTGAGAGACGATTATACTGGGAGGAGAAAGGGAGAGGTAGAATGGGGTAAATTATCTCACATAAAACAGACAAGAAAAGGCTTTTACAGTGGAGGGGAAATGTGAGAGGGTGAGTCTTATTCTCATAGGATTTGGCTTAAGGAAGGAATAACATACACACTCAATTGGGTATGGAAATCTATCTTACCCTACAGGAAAATGGGAGGGAGGGGACAAGAGAGCAGGGGGATGATAGAGGGGAGGGCAGATTGGGGAAGGGGGTAATCAGAAACAAACACTTCTGAGGAGGGACAGGGTCAAAAGAGAGAACAGAATAAATGGGAGAGGGCAGGATAGGATGAAGGGAAATATATTTAGTTTTTCACAATGTGACTACTATGGAAGTGTTTTGCATGACTACACATGTATAACCTG